TGTTACATAATTTCTGGCCCAATCAAACTTATAATACCCCCAACACATAGTGTAGTTGTAAAAATTCAAATACAGAAACGGGTTTGAAAATTAATATTTACGTAATAGGTAATAAAAAATGCGTCATAATGCATCGCCAATGTCGATTTGTCACTAATCCACTAAAGGGAGTTCATTTGTCTGATGCAATACTGGGCATATGTAAATGAGAGCTATATCAGGGTCCATTCAGCCCCGATTCTTTAACGCTGAAAATGAAAAAAAAAAAAACGATCCATTTTTTTCTCATAAAAATATTACGCACAACTTGGAAAAAAATTATGTATATATTTAATAGATTTCAATTGGAAAAAGTTCGGAGAATGGAAACTTCTATAAAGAGCTACACGTTTACACACATATATGTCATTTATAGCTGTCATAGCTAACATGGTCCCCATATTTGAGAATACTCCGATCAGACGCACTATAAATCGTAATTTCTTTTTTGCGATAAATAGATGAATGACGCGAATAATTTGCCATCAGGGAAATCGAAATCGCTTTCAATATTCATAGGTCAATATTTTCCATTAATAGGTGATTCATAATTTTTTTCGCATTATTGTATCAAACGCAAAGATAATGTTGTTATTTTCAAAACAAAACGTCAAAAAAACAATTTTTTGTTTTGTTTATAATTTGGTCGTTACTTTGTGGGAAAAATACTGGACTAGCAGGGCAGTGATATGGATTGGGAATTGTTGTTTTGATGATGGGGGCTTCTCATCATCACGAGTTAGTAAAAAAGTCAATGATGTTGTGATAGTCCACCACACATAGACACATGAACAAAAAAAAGTACATTGATAAAAAAACGTGTCAAACTACGTAATAATACATACCTGACTTATTTTCAATTCCGCTCTAGAAAATTAAGAAGTTTCCCTACATTGGAACTATGCTTACTTTGATGTGTTTCTTTGACAAGAGTTAAGTGAAATTGGAACGAAATACCGAAAATTAGGAGGTTATTTTTTTGTAAAGTTGTAGATAACAGTAAGGAAAGGTCAAAAGTTCGGCGGGCCCGAATATATGATACCCTACACCACAATGAGTATTTAGTAGAGCTCTCGTAAGAAAAAAAGGTTATAGAACAGTGTTGGCATGTTTGTTCGGAATACCATAGAATTTTGTTGTTGCAAAATTGTCAGACTTAATCCCATTATTGTTGTTTTTATAAAAACAACGATTGTTTATTAGGGGAGAACGATGGTAATGTTTACCAGGGGGTAAGGTAGGGAATACCTAGATTTTACATGAACGAAGTGGAGCAAAAAGAAAATGTTGATAAGTGCGGTCGTAAGATTTAGAAGATTTTTCAAAAGAATTTTAGTTTTATGTAATTCTTTGGTTCCTCTTCTATTGAGCTTACGATCGGGTAAAAAAAAAAAAGTTTTTTGTCATAGAAGTTGTTTTTTTTAAATAACTCTGGGGAGAATATCCCAGACAAAACATGTAAGCAAAGGCTATAGTGGTGCGGGGCCGACCATGTGATACCCTACAATACTACAATTGCTTCGAAGTCCCCTTATGTCCAAATCCATTTCTGAAGATTTCGTCTTTGAAATAATGTCAAAAATAATGCTCCTGTCCTTAACTCAATTCTGATGCGAAATTTAGTGTCGATTAGTTGTATGGAGCTTGATTACTAATTAACATGGACAGACGGACAGACGGACGGACGGACATACATACCTAGATCGACTTAGCTCGGCGAGGTAGGAAGATCCATATATACTTTCCTATGTGGGAAGGAAAGGTGTTACATAATTTTGGCCCAATCAAACTTATAATACCCGCAACACATAGTGTTGTAGGGTATAAAATTGAAGGAACACCAAGAGCTTCAGACCTGGATTTAAAAAAAAAAATCAAGGACTAGACAGAGTCACAACCTCGATTTATAAACAACTATTTTTAAAGGCTTTTTCAGAGGCATAATAATTGATATCGGTATTGCCGACTGATGTATACCCTTAGTCAATGTCAATTATTATTAATTATCCACTTCTCACCTGAATTAACTCTGATATGAAAAAACTGCAATCAAATTCAGACTAGTGTCACTTCTAAGCCACTCGTCCAACAGCTGTTATAATTATTCCAGTGACAGCTCATTATATTGTCCACAAGCGTACGAAAGCAGATTGATGAGAACTTTCAAGAAAAAAAGTTATTCGTGATGGAATTCAAGCGTGATAGTGTGATTTCTTTATATTTGGCTGGAAAACCACAAGTGGTTATCGTTAGAGCACTCCATCATTTAAATGTGAATAAATCTTTAGTGTCTCGTACCATCGCTCGTTACCGTGATACTGGTAGCGTAGCCGGACGTCAAGGAAGTGGACGGAAGAAAAGAGCAACATCAGCAGAAATGGTTCGAAAAGTAATGAAGCGACTTGATCGAAACCCGCGTCGAAGTGGCCGAAAAATGGACTCAAGAGAGCTTAAGTGTTGCTTCGCTTAGCCGAATGTGGTGAACTGCCGAATTTATTTTTCTCGGTCTCCGATGAGAAAGCATTCGTTGTCCAACAGTTTGTAAACAAACAAAATGATCGTGTTTACTTGCCAAAGAGGTCAGCTGAAAATGCGCACCTTCGGCTGGCCACCAGAACTCAAGCGCCGGCCATGGTGATAGTGTGGGCCGCCATAACAGCCGATGGTAGCTCTTCGCTCATATTAATCGACCGTGGCATCAGAATAAATGCCAAATATTATCGCGAAAATATTTTGGAGGGTGTATTAAAGCCATGGACACGCAAACATTTTGGCCGCAGACCTTGGACATTCCAGCAGGACTTAGCACCATCGCATTCAGCAAGCGCCACCCAAGTATGGTTACAAAATGAGGTTCCTCGCTTCATTTCCAGCCACCAAAATCTCCGGATACCAATCCGTTGGACTATCTGGTGTCCGGAGTATTTTGGAAAGCAAGGTTGGCATTAAAAATACCAAAGTGTCGAACACCTCAAGCAAGTTCCTTCCCGGGAATAGTTCAAAATACCGCAGAGCAACATTCGGGCAGCGTGTGACGGTTTCATTGGCCATTTGAATGACATAATTCGTACCAACGGTGACCAATTCGAACAAATCTAAACTTATTCTAAAATTTGATGCTATTTCCGACATTTTTTTGCTTTAATTCAATAAAATTTCAAAACCAAAAAAATGTAAAAATTATGGCGTTTGACTTTTTTGTAGTTTTTTTTATCTCACTCTGTAGACAGTTATATTTCAGGAGGTAAAGCATTCAAAGGGAACTCTTTGTGTGGATTTTCAGACAATTCCATTGAAAAACTTGGCTATAATCATCAAATAATGAGAGGTAGCATTATAGGGCGGCTATAAGAAGTCATAGACCTGCATGAGCAATTTTCAGTCATAGATGGTAGTACCTATTAGCAACTTCACATACGAAATTTGAAAAATTCCAATTAAAAATGCCGCTTCAATCATCAAAATATCGAATATCGGAAGGTATCCTTGTATGGGGGCATTGATATAACGTGGACCGGCATAGAAAATTTTCCGCCATAGGTTAAAGTACCCATTGCAAACTTCAAATAAAAAATTGTAAAAAATTTTAAAAAATTTAAAAAAAAAAAATTGTCGCTGAAATCATCAAAATACCGGATATCGGGAGGTATCCTTATGGGGGCTATGCGAGAACGTGGACCTGCATAGAAAATTTTCCACCATGGGTTAAAGTACCCATTGCAAACTTCAAATAAAAAATTGTCGCTAAAATTATCAAAATACCGGATATCGGGAGGTATCCTTATATGGGGGCTATGCGAGAACGTGGACCTTTACAGAAAGTTCTATTTCATGGGAGCAAAGTACTCAGAAGGAACTCCTTGTGTGGATTTTCAGACAATTCCATTGAAAAATTTGGCTACAATCATCAAAATACCGAATATGGGGAAGTGCCATTTTTTGGGGGATATACGATATCGTGGGGGAAATAAAAATCTCTTCCAGGGGGTAAAGTACTCCTAAAGAATTCCTTGTGTAGAACTTCTGATAATTCCATTAAAAAAACGTGGCTAAAATCATCAAAACACCTAAAATCGTAGAGTACCGTGGACCATATATCGGGGGTGGACCAATATAGCCCATCTTCGAACTTGACCTGCCTGCAGACAAAATGCTGATCCGCACAAAATTTTAGCTTGTGAAGAAGTTCTAATCATTCTATTAAAAACGAGGCTAAAATCATCAAAATACCTAAAAATCGTGGAGTACCGTTGAATGTGGGCTATACGATAGGGGGTGGACCGATATAGCCCATCTTCAAACTTGACCTGCCTACAGACAAAATACTGATCCGTGCAAAATTTTAGCTTCCTATCTTAATTCGTTATGGCTCTAGCGTGATTACAACAAACGGACAGACGGACGAACGAACAGGGCTAATTCGTTTTAGAATTTTACGCTGATCCAGAATATAAATACTTTGCTGGGTCTAAAATAATTATTTCGATAAATTAAAAACGGAATACCGAACTTAATATTCTCTCCAGACTACGTATAATGGAGGGTGTAAAAAGGTTTGTGTTTTAATCTTTTGTTGGCCCACAAAATAAGTGGCAAGCGATTTCGACAAGATAAACTCCATTCTCTTCATTACACGAAGAGTTGACCTATTGCCTTCAATATCAACAACAACACGAGTGTTTCCTTAATAAATCATCATGCCACTGTGATTTGAGGCGTTGCATAAGTCAGTCAGTCACTCAGTCATCATCATCAATATATAAATCAATCGGAATCTATATAAAAATGTCTGGCTCAAATTCCATCTTTTAATTCGCATTTTTTTATTTGAAACGAAAAAAAAAAATCGGAAAAAAATCGACACACACACATTTACATACCCCCACACGCTCGCTATGTGTGTCTGCTGAGAATGTCACATGGCATGGCACTGATAAGCGCTGGGAAGTGGACGCCATTTCTATAAAATGCTATTGAAATGGCCGCACGGACTTCAGTACGTTTTGGGAGATTCATGAGAAGATCTCACAGAAAAAGCTAACACAGAAAAGCCAAATGAAGCATTTTTTGCTTTCATTTGCCATTTTGGCCGCAATGGCAAAGGTAAATCGGGGTTACGGATTACAAAAAAAAAAAAAAAAAATACAAAAGTCGATACTTACAAATTTCTTGCAAAAATTTGCAGATCATACAACCGCTGCCGATTTCCTTTGTACGCAGACCCATGCAAAAACCAGCCCAAAATTTCATCGATGCTGAAATTGAATATACCGCCTCGCAGGCAGAAAAAACCGCCACGCTGCTGAGAAATGTCTTGGAACGCTTGCCCACCACAGAGCCATATGAGCCGCATCGCAAAGCCTTGGAAAAACTTCTACAAAATGCTTTGGATTTTAAAACGCCCGGTTTGTGTCACAATAAAATGAGAGCCTTCTCACGTAGCTGGACTTCTGTTATGGTTAAATATTTACGCCCCGACAGCTCACCACAGCATGATGAAATTCTGGCGCTGCTCGAACAATACGGCCTGAAAAGTATGATGATGGAGGCGGAACATTTTCTCGAGCGCATTGTAAGTGGTGAAATTGGGCTGCCCGTTGAAGAAGGATCACCGTCGTATGTGAAGTTTTTGGAAAGGGAGTGTTGACACAATTAATGGTGGGGGCGGGACCAAAAGGGACCCCCCTAAAAAACAAAAAAACAAGAATTATCAGTATTAATGTGTACCATAACAACAAAAATACTTAGGTGTAGTTGTAGTAGTAAGTTAATTAATTTTTATAAACAAAAACACAGCCAATAAAATCTTCATCTGCTGATATTCCTCCTCTATGGAATTTTTGGCGAATTGTAGCAGGCCATACATAACGGTAATATTTTGAGCGCCTGGCAGATCCATAATAATTGATTTTTTTAGAATTTTTTTAAGAATATTTTTTCAACTCCCAACGGCAGCAGCAGTAGTGGATTTTAAAAGAAGAAGAAGAATTTTGCATGGAATAAGAATTTATGAATGGGCAGAAGCCTACGAATTTGTATGGTCGTCGTACAATATTTAGAGGGTAAAATAAACCATAATTTTTATGTCAAAAAATACGAAAATTTCGAATAAACCGCGAATATTTTTAATCCCGTCAAATCACAAATATATTAAAAGGTCACTCCTGACCATTACAGTGGTACTGGTAGCCAAGATATGGGAAAGAAAAGAAAAATATGTGCAATATATATGTAAAAAAATAGATCTTAGTTATCCTGCTCATAAGACAATATTTTGGATAGACTCTCGTCAATTCGGAATAGTCTCTTTCAAGAAAAAATAAAATCTAAGAAAATCGCGTAAAAAAATACCAATAAAAAATAAATATTTTTTGTTAATTTTTTTTCAATTTTTGCCATATTTTTTATCGCATGAGATTTTTTCTATTTGACTAACAATTTTGAATTGTATATTTTTAATTTTTCTTTACACCCTACAACACTATGAGGGTATTATGGTATTATATGCAGGTTGCAATTATCGTCGAATACTCACGTAATTTTGCATGGGGTAAAGTTAGGGTCAGAATTAAAGCCCATTGTTTTTCAAGATCTACATTAAAGGATTCCAATGGACCAAGAGGACTAGCATTTTAGATGACCATTGGATTATTTTTTTTTTTTTGCTGTAAAATGGAACACAACTTTCGTGTGAAGTTGTTTTTAATACCTAAAAACATTACGGAGTGCCTAAATATTGGACCAAAGCCCCAGGTGAAAAAACTAAGGGTAACATTTTGGCAGGGCTCTAAACATTATTTAAACAAGTAAAAAAACTATAAGTTCGGCCGGGCCGAACTTTTAATACCCTCCACCATTTGGTACAAATTTGGCAATTTTCAAAAAAAAAATCTGTTAAAATCTTAAAAATGCCGAATGGCTATACGACGACGTGGACCTGCATAGTCAAATTTTGTCATAAGTTATTACAATATTTAAATGCGAAACTTGAAGAAAAATCTGTTTAAAATATAGCTAAAATCATCAAAATACTGAATATAGGGGGTACCGTTATATGGGGGCCATACGATGACGTGGACCTGCACAGACAATTTTCTGGGATGGGCTGAAGTATCCATTACGAACTTCACATGCGAAATTTAAAACAATCCCGGTAAATAATGCCGCTAAAATCATAAAAATACCGAATATCGGGGGGTACGGTATATGGTGGCTATACGAAGGCGGGGACCTACATGGCCCATTTTCTGTTTTATGCTGCAGTATGTATTACGAACTTCAAGCACCAAATTTGGAACGATTCCGTTAAATAATGTCGCTAAAATGATCAAAATACCGAATATCGGGGGGTACCGTTATATGGGGGCTATACCAAGACGTGGACCTACATGGCCCATTTTCTTTCTTATGCTGCAGTATGTATTACGAACTTCAAACACCAAATTTGGAACGATTCCTTTAAATAATGTCGCTAAAATCATCAAAATACCGAATAACGGGAGGTACCGTTATATGGGGGCTACATGAAAACGTGGACCTATACATATAATGTTACCCCACTGGAGCTAGAATCCATTACGACTTACAGAGGTCAATTTTTAGACAAATCCGTGGAAAAATGTGGCAAAAATAATCAAAATACCGAATATCGGGAGGTACAGTTATATGGGGGCTATACCAAAACGTGGACCGATATATCCCATTTCCAATACCAACCATCCTAGGGACAATACACACACTTGTGCCAAATTTCAAAGGTCTACGTCAAATAATGTGGGCTCTATCGTGATTTCAACAGACAGACAGACGGACAGACAGACAGACAGACAGACAGACAGACAGACGGACATCGCTAAATCGTCTTAGAATTTTATGCTGATTATGAATATATATACTTTATGGGGTCTACGACGAATATTTAGAGGTGTTACAAACGGAATGACAAAGTTAATATACCCTCCTACCCATGGTGGAGGGTATAAAAATAATTGCAAGGACTCGTGGATTTTTAAAAATGATTTTAAGGACTCGAGGATTTTTAAAAATAATTTTAAGTGCTCGTTGATTTTTAAATATGATTTGAAGGACTCGAAGATTTTTAATAATGATTTTGAGGGCTCGTGGATTTTTAAAAATTGTTTTTAAGGTCTTGTGGATTTTTAAAAATCATTTAAAGAATTCGTGGATTTTTAAAAAAGATTTCAAGGACTCGTGGAAAATGATTTCAAGGACTCGTGGAAAATGATTTCAAGGACTTGTGGAAAATGATTTTAAAGAATCGTGGATTTTTAAAAATGATTTTAAGGACTTGTGATTTTTTAAAATTGATTTAAAGGAGTCGTTGATTTTTGAAAATGGTTTTAAAGAGTTGTGGATTTTTAAAAATCATTTTAAAGGCTCGTGGATTCTTAAAAATGACTTCAAGGACTCGTGGATTTTTATAAATGATTTTAAAGGCTCCTGGATTTTTTAAAATGATTTTAAGGACTTGTGGATTTTAAAAAAATAGTTTTTAAGGACTTGTGGATTTTTAAAAATGATTTCAAGGACTTGGGGATTTTTGAAAATTATTTTAAGGACTCGTGGATTTTTAAAAATTATTTTAAGGACTCGTGGATTTTTAAAAATTATTTTAAGGACTCGTGGATTTTTAAAAATTATTTCAATAATTCGGAGATTTAAAAAAATGATTTTAAGGATTCGTGAATTTTTTAAAACTCGTTGTTTTTTAAAACTGATTTCAAGGATCCATTGATTTTTAATAATGATTTTAAGAAATCGTGGGATTTTAAAAATGTTTTCAAGGACTGATGAATTTTCAAAAATCATTTTAAGGACTCGTGGGTTTTTAAAAATTATTTTAAGAAATAGTGGGCTTTTAAAAATGATTTCAAAGACTCGTGGACTTTTAAAAATAATGTTAAGGACTCGTGGATTCTTAAAAAAAAACTCCTGGATTTTTAAAAAAAACATTTTAAGGGCTCCTGGATTTTGAAAAAATCATTTTAAAAACTCGTGGATTTTTAAAAAACAATTTTAAAGATTTCTGTATTTTAAAAAATCATTTTAAGAACTCTTTGATTTTTAAAAATAATTTTATGGACTTGTGGTTTTTAAAAAAAAATTCAGATCATCGTAGATTGTCCATTTTTTATGAATTGTAAGGACCTCTTTTTACCAGGCTATTATCGTGATTTTTTACACAAATATTTATACAATATTTTTCCACAAATGTTTATAATTCCGATGACTCTCATAGCTATAACTGTGAAGTTTTGTAAGAGAATCTTCTCAAAAATATTATACAAATTTAAGCTTTTCAGAGCTATAATCGTTCATTTTTACAAACATTTTTAATGTTTCCGAACCTGTAATATTAAAAAATTAAACTATATTTTTTCAGGGACCCTTAGATTTTGTAAACTTGAGCTAATTTTACAATAAATTTCAAAAAAAATGTAAATATTTTTTCAATGGTTCCGGGTTCTAAATGGGTTAATTTATTAACATAATTTTTAAATTATCACTCTGTAGACAAGGCAAAATACATTTAATACAATGTTTTTTTCTTTTTATGGTACAAGGTCATGAACGACGACAACAGATTCTTGATCTAGTTGTGACACCGAATGCCAAGCCGTAGATAATTCAATTCTTGAACATTCATTCATAAAATTTTGCTGAAAATCTATTTCATAATTCACGGTGAGTAGAGAATGCCATTTACTCCATTCAAATTAGGAAAATTAAACACAGGCCTGACCCATGAGCCCACAATATTTTTTTTGTGATTCCAATAGTTCAAGCTGCTACTATTTATATAAAATTCTTTAGAATTTTATAATCTTTCAAAGTGTGCGGTTTTCTCTGAGTCAACACACAAAGAAATTCCCAAAATCTCATGATTTGGCAGTTGTCCGGCTTGTGTGTGTGTGTGTTATCACATCACGCACTCTCCGAGTGACAACAGAAAGAAATGAAATTGTCAGAATCTTTTTGGCGGCGCATGTCGGCGGAAATTGTCTGATATGAAGGAAATCCATGTGTTCCACCCATGGCATGTTCGTTGGTCACACGATCTGTGGTTGGTTGTGAGAATATGCAAAACTATTAGACACCGTCTAGTCTATTAATTCAGCGACTAATTACCTATGCTATAATTGTATAATTTATTAGGGAACAACATGGGCGTAGGGTAGGATAGGTCATATTCACATTCGCAAGGATGCAAAATAAAAAAGACATAATCTGACCGAAATTAGTAGACATATCGGTTAGGTTCTATTCAACACTAGACGTAACTATCGAAAATCCTACACAAATCTTATTTCAAAATTTGAAAAATAATTGTCACACATTTTGTGGTGGCAGTAGTAGTGTGTGACCTCACTTGGCCCCTAGTGGACCACCATTCTCTCAATTATTTTATTTTCAGCTCTCTTTGTTTTCAAAAATCATTGCCGCCTTAAATTCAAAATGAATAAACTTCTGATAAAAGAGTGAGAGATAATATTATTGGATTATTGGAATAATAAAAAAATATAAACAAAAATGTTTCGAAACTATTTTTAAATTTAAATATTTATAAATAATAAAATTTATTAAATGTTTCTATGTGTGTTGCAGATATAAATTAAAATTTTTAGGAGGTCAATATTATTATTATTATTTCCATGTCTGGCAAAAAAAAAAATTGAGACTCAAATAATCCAACGAAATAAAAAAAATCTATTTTCATTGTGCGTTACTCTATGCCGAATGGTGGGTAAATTTATTAATTTTTTTCAAAAAAAAAAAAACAAATTTATTCTTTGAGTTATAAATCAGTAATTGATTCTTTTTTCGAAAAAAATGAGAATTAAAAAAAAAAAAACATTTTCAATACATTCTGAACATTTCGGGGAAATAAAGTCCGTAAACATACTTCAACCACTATCGGAGCACTCCTGGGACTTTTTGGAATTTAAACCATTAAGGAAAGTCTTAAAAGTCGGGCGGGGCCGACTTTATGATACCCTACACCACTTTGCTAATTTAGTAGAGCTCCGCATAACAATTAAAAGTTTTTATGGGAGAATTCAATCCTACACCCTATGATAACAATTATAATTTAAAGTTCAAAGGAATAAATATACCGAAGCATTTGTATCTTTTAAATTCGGATTCGTTTTGTTCATTTGGTGCCCAACTAATTTGAAATCAGATAAAGATATATATGGGAGCTATATCCAAATCGGAACCGATCTCTATAAAATTTGGCAAATATATTTCTGAGCTGTATTTGATATATTTCCCTGAATATTGTTGTTACGGAGTGCATATTACGGCTGTGGGTAACAAATATAACAAATCGGATGAACCGTATATATGGGAGCTATAGCTGTATCTGAACCGATCTTCACCAAATTTGACATACTAGCTTCTAGATTCTAGATTCAATTCGGTGGTAAGTGCCAAAGTCCATCCTATTTGGATAAATATTAGACGTTTGGTGCACAATAACAATTAAATCGGACGAAGTTATACATGGGAGATATATCGAAATCTGAACCGATCTCAATAACATTTAGCAAATGTATTTCTGAGCTGTATTTGATAAATTTCCTCAAATATTGTTGTTACAGAGTGCATATTACGGCTGTGGAGGACAAAAATAACAAATTGGACGAACAATATATATGGGAGCTAAGGCTATATCTGAACCGATTTCGATCAAATTCGGCATACTTATTTTCAGGCCTAATTTGGTTGTATGTGCAAAATGCCATGCTATTCGGGCTGATATTACACGTTTGGAGCACAATAAAAGGCAAATCGGACGAAGATATATATGGGAGCTATATCTAAATTTTTACCGATTATCTCCAATTTCAATAGGGTTCGTTTATGCAAAATTTCATCTGGATCGGGTAATAAATGCGAGCTGTACTTTGTTCACAAAAATACATGGACGGATGGACAGACGGACATGCATAAATCGACTCAGAATGTGATTCTATGCAGATCATCAAAAGAAACTATGGGTCTATTTCGTTTCCTTTTGGCTGTTACAAACAAATGCACAAATACATAATACCCTAACCACCTTGTGGTGTAGGGTATAAAAGCAAGTTAAAATGTATCAGTTGGTATTGCCGACAATGTTCGATTATTTAAATATATTTTTACTTCTGTTATGATTATTCAAATTGTTGACCCTCAATGGAGTAGGTTCCCGAGGAATGGACCTATATCCATTTCGTATAGGACCTAAATAAATCTATATCTATAAAAGAGTAAAATTTTTGTATGTTTTTTGTAATTTATGGATTCGCAAACCGCTGAAAACTGATTTTACTGAAAATTTCCAAGAATACTACAACATCGCCTGAAAGTAACATAGAATCGGAGGTACCTTTCAAAAATTTAGATTTCATATGCACATATCTATTGATCGATTATAGATATAGTCTCCAAATTTGGAACGCGTAACGGACTTTAAAACAAAAATAAATTTGCCAAATTATATTGAAATCGGTTCAGATTTGGATATAGCTCTCATCTGTATTTTTGACCCTTTTTACATATTTGATGCCCAAAACACGATGCATATGTCCGATTTCAATGAAATTCGGCATAAGTTACGGGTTTTGGATCAACAGATAAATTTGTCAAATTATATTGAAATCGGTTCAAATTGGGATATAGCTCCCAACTCCCATATTTTCGGCCGATTTCACATATTTGATGCACCAAACACGCTATGTATATCCGATTGCAATGAAATTCTGCATGAGTGACTAAATTTCGTACACACATAAATTTGACAAACTATATCGAAATCGGTACAGATTTGGATATAGCTCCCATATATATTTTCGGCCGATTTCATATATTTGGTGCACCCAACGTGATTCCAATGAAATTCGGGCAGAGAGACGAAATTTTGCACCAAAAAAAAAAAAATGCCAAATTATATTGTAATCGGTTGAGCTTTGGGTATAGCTCCCATATATACAGGGTGAGATAAAAAAAACTCCAACAAAGTCAAACAGCATAATTTTTACATTTTTTTAATTTTATTGAATGAAAGCAAAAACTGTCGGTAATAGCATCAAATTTTGGAATAAGTTTAGATTTGTTCGAATCGGTCACCTTTGGCATGAATTATGGCCTCCAAACGGTCAATGAAACCGTCACACGCTGCCCAAATGTTACTCTGCGGTATTCTGGCCCATTCCCGGCGAAGCGCTTGCTTGAGGTGATCGACACTTTGGCATTTTTTGGTGCCAAACTCGCTTTCCAAAATACTCCAAACACAATAGTCCAACGAAATGGTATCCGGAGATTTTGGTGGTCATTGTGCGAAAAAGAAGCGAGGAACCTCATTTTGTTACCATTCTTGGTCTGCGCGTGCTGAGTCCTGTTGGTCTGCGGTGCTGAGTCCTGTTGGAATGTCCAAAGTCTGCGGCCAAAATGTTTGCGTGCCCAAGGCTTTTATACACCCTCCAGTATATTTTCGCGATATATGCGGCATTTATTCTGATGCCATGGTCGATTAATACGAATGGAGAGCGACAATCGGCTGTTATGGCAGCCCACACCATTACCATGACCGGCGCTTGAGTTCAGGTGGCCAACCGAAGGTGCACCTTTTCAGTTGACCTCTTTGGCAAGTAAACACGATCAGTTTGTTTGTTTACAAAATGCTGGATAACGAATGTTTTCTATTATATTGCTTGACTTCGGGCTACGCTACCAGTATCACCGTAACGAGCGATGGAACGCGACACACAAAAATTTATTCACATTTAAATGATGGAGTGCTCTAACGTTAGTCTCTTGTGGTTTTCCACCCAAATATAATAAAATCACACTATCACGATTGAATTCCATAACGAATAACTTTTCTTCTGGAAAATTCTCACCAAAATGCTTTCGTACGCTTGTAAACAATATAATGAGCTGTCACTGGAATAATTTTAACAGCTGTCGGACGAGTGGCTTAGAAATGACAGCAGTCGGAAGTTGGTTGCAGTTTTTTTATCTCAACCTGTATATCTTTATCCAATATCAGGTTAATTGTGCACCAAATTGCTTATATCAGCCCATGTGAAGTGAATCTTGGCAATTCTTAGTGAATTTATCCTAGAAACAAATATTTCAGATTTGGTGAAAATTGGTTCATATGCACTCCTCAATCGTGATCTTTGGTACCAGATATCAGATACAGCTCAGTAATAAGTGCCTAAAATTTTGTCAAGATCGATGCCGATTTACATATCTTCATCCGATTTCAGGTTTATTGTGCTCCAAATGGCTTATATCGGCTCAAATGGACTGAATTTTGGCACTTCCGACGCAAATCAGCCCAAAAAGCAAGTACTTCAAATTTTGGTGAAAATCGGTTCAGATATAGCTATAGTTCCCTATATATGTTTCATCCACAACAATCATACTTCATAACGGGCATAAAATACTGCTCGAAAATACCTCTGCCATATTTTATCAAAATCGGTTTAGATTTTTATATATCTTCGATATACATCTTCCTCCGATGTTAAGTTTACTGTTCATCATATGTGTGATATCAGCTCAAATTGAATAGATTTCTTCATATCCAACGGAATTTTTCCATTTGATGAAACTCGGTCAACGAAATCAGCATATAGAAGCCAGAAGTCCGCTTTTTGTGTACTTTGGATTTCGTCTGTAAGTTATTTTCTGCGTTTCAGTAGAATAGAAATTTCGGCTTCTATTCAGTCCCTAGCCCCACCTACATTCTAAATTTCGTGAAGATCGGGCCATAATTGTAGAGTGATTACATATTAACATGGACAGACGGTCATACATAGCTAGATCGACTCAGCTCGGCGAGATAGGAAGATCTGTGGTAAACCAATATTTCGAGGTGTTACACATAATTTTTGGTCCAATCAAGCTTATAATACGCCCATAGTGTTGTAGGGTATAAAAATTGAAAGTTTTTGAACTGATTTCCGATTTAATACCGTCCAGGAAAATATATCCGCCGAGTATTTTGTATAAAATTAACATGCCCTGTAATTTTGAGAGAAGTTATGAACATGAATATCGCTTCAAAGACAAAGAGAAACAGAGAGAGAGAGAGAGAGAGAGAGAGAGAGAGAGAGAGAGGGAAAATCCAAAACAAGTGCAACGCATCGTATTCCAAACTCCAATTGAGAGGAAGACAAAATAAACAATTGTTTCAGTAGCTGCCAACTGATAAATGCCCACACAGCAGCAGCAACCACCACTTCCTCACACCCCGTCCACACAATCCTGGTGGGGTCATTATAATACGATGCGCTATTCTATTTATGCCTCTGAGTTTTGAAACTGATACCGAGATATGCGGACATGTGGCACAGTCGTATGTATGTACGCCAGAATGATTGCTTAGTATTTATTTGAATTTCAAACTAAACAGAGGCTCGGCATTCATTCACTAAGGCAAACGAAAAAATCTAAATAAAAAAAATTAAAAATAAAAATAAAAAAAGAAAGAAAAGAAAATAAAAATCTCGAAAAAAAAAACAAAATGAAAAATTTACTGATAATTATTCTCGCCTCTCTGATGGCGATGCGGAAGGTTTGTACAATCGTCATCATCGGAATTTTGAATGAATCAAGAAAAACAAAACAAATAATTTTCCCCATTCCAGTTCCACCCCGCCACCGCCAGCCAGACAATTTACAATGACGATTTGCGCATTGTTGAGGCAGCAGAAAACTTGATGCAGGCAATGATCGATGAAAGCGAAACACTGATACGCAACGCTTTGGAAGAGGTACCCGCCGACGAGCGCTACAATGAACATCGTGAAAATTTGCGAAAATTTCTACACGAAACCGAGGAGTACAAATCGCAGGAGGGTGATTGTCAATCGAAACGTTTGAAATATAATCAAAATACCAGTGCCCTGATGCGACCCTATTTGGAGGCTGGGGCGAATGCCTCCAGGGAAATGCATGCCATGCAAAGACTCCTGAATCGTCATGGTCTGCAAGATTTGAGAACGAAATTCAAAGAATCTTTGGGTAAAGTTTATGGCGGAGATTATGGTACGCCATCGAAAGATATCGAAAAGGTCTATGCGGAATATGTGATCAGTCGATGCCACAAGAATCGGGGCAAAAAGGAACTGTAAAAAGTGCTTTGGAAGGAGCAATTAAATGAACTTCAATGTGGAGATTTCCATTGCGGGAAGCAGATTTCGGATTTAAGTAAATACCAGAAGGCCATATATGAATATTTTCAAGGCCGATTTTTGAAATGGACTTAAAAAAATAAAGTAAAGAAATTTAAATATTTCAAGGATTTTTTATAAAAAAAAAACTGAAATATTGAATAAATTAAAATTATTTAAAAATTTGAAATATTTTTTGAAAATCATACAAAGTGAAAACGGAAAATTTTTAATTTTTCTGAATTTTTAAAAAATATATTTTCAAGGGCCAAAGATCAACAAATTTTACCTATTTGAGATTTTTGCGATTATAACAATATATTGCAGATAAGAACACGAAAATTATTTCGGGTTAATAAAGGGGACTTTTCGGTTTTTTTTTTTTTTTTTTTTTTTTTTTTTTTGAAAATACAGCGTGAGATGAAAAACTGCAACCATTTTCAGATTGCTGTCATTTCTAAGCCACTCTTCCGACAGCTGTTAGAATTATTCCAGTGACAGCTCATTATATTGTTTACAAGCGTACAAAATCATTTTTGTGAGAATTTTGCAGAAAAAAAGTTATTAGCCATGGAATTAAAGCGTGATAGTGTGATTACCTTATATTTGGCTGGAAAACCACAAGTGGCTATCATTAGAGCACTCTAGCATTTAAATGTGAATAAATCTTTTGTGTCTCGTACCATCTCTCGTTACCGTAATACCGGTAGCGTAGCCTGACATCAAGGAAGTGGACGAAAGACAGGAGAAAACAGCACACCAACAGAAATGGTTCAAAAAGTAAAGAAGCGACTTGATCGAAATCCGCGTCGCAGTGGCCGAAAAATGGCTCGTGAGCTAAACATATCGCAATATTCCATTCGGAAAATATTGAAAAATGAGCTCGGGGTAAAGCCATTGAAATTCCAAAAATTGCAAGAACTTACATCGCAACTGAAATAAAATAGACACAAAAGAGGTAAAGAGTTGCTTCGCTGGGCAGAAAGTGGTGAACTGCCGAATTTGGTTTTCTCCGTCTCCGATGAGAAAACATTCGTTGTCCAGCAGTTTGTAGACAAACAATATGATCGTGTTTACTTGCCAAAGAGGTCAGCTGAAAATGTGCACCTTCGGTTGGCCACCAGAACTCAAGGGTCGGCCATGGTGATGGTGTTTGCCGCCATAAAAGCCGATCGTCGCTCTCCGCTCGTATTAATCGACCGTGGCATTAGAATAAATTCCAAATATTATCGCGAAAATATTGTGGAGGTTGTATTAAATGCTTGGCCACTCAAACATTTTGGCCGCAGACCTTAAACATTCCAACCATCGCACTCAGCACGCGCCACCCAAGAATGGTTACAAAATGAAGTTCCTCGCTTCATTTCCAACGCACGATGGCAAATCTAAACTTATTCTAAAATTTGATGCTATTTCCGACATTTTTCGCTTTCATTCAATAAAATTAAAAAAAAAACGATTTAAAAAGTTGTAAGTTCGGCCGGGCCGAACCTTGTATACCCACCACCATTTGGAACGAATTTGTAAATTTCCAAAAAATAAAATCCGTTAAAAATCTTTAATATACCGAATATAGCCGTTATACTGGGGTCTATTCGAAGTGGACCTACATAGGCTTTGTCACAGGCTGTAGCAATCATTACGAACTTCATCTCAAACGACATCTCAAACAATTTCGCTGAGTATTGTAACTAAAATCGTCAAAATACCGAATATAGGAAGGTACTGATATATGAGGCCTATACGAAGACCTGCACCTGCATAGACAATTTTCTGTCACAGACCGTAGTTCTCATTACGAACTCTAAATACGTAATTTGAAACTACTCCCGTGAATAATGACGCTAAAATCATCAAAATACCGAATATAGGGAGGTACCGTTATATGAGGGCTATACGAAGACCTGGACCTGCATAGACAATTTTCTGTCATAGACTGTAGTGCCCATTAAGAACTTCAAATGCCAAATTTGAAACAATTCCGGTGAATAATGTCGCTAAAATCATCAAAATACAGAATATTGTAAGGTACCGTTTTATCGGAGCTATACGAAGACGTGGACCTGCACAGACAATCTCCTGTCATAGGCTGTAGCATCCATTACGAACTTCAAATACCAAATTTGAAACAATTCCGGCGAATAATTTTGCTAAAATCATCAAAATACCGAATATCGGGAGGTACCGTTATATGGGGGCTATATGAAAACGTTGAACTACATGGCTCATTTACGAACCTAACCTGCCTACTGAAAAAATAAACATGTGTGGAAAATTTTAGCCTTCTACCTCAATTCGTTCGAAAGATAGCGTCATTACAACAGACAGACGGACAGACGGACTTCGCTAAATCGACTTTGAATTTTACGCTGATCAAGAATATATATATATACTTTGTTGGGTCTGACATGAGTATTTCGAGGAGTTACAACCGGAATGACAAAGTTAATATACCCTCAATAGGTGTAAAAATGTAAAAATTATGGCGTTTTATTATTTTATCTCACCCTGTATATACAAATTTTCATAACTACCTACATCATGCAGTCCAATTGAAATCTTATTTTCCAATTTCAGAGTTCCAAAACTACCCACATTCCTCTGTCCTAGAATGCTATAGTAATTTTATTTCCAAATTTCAGCTTTCCAGCTCTATCGGTTCAACAAAATCGAAATTGTACCATGTTTAGTACCATTTAGTACTTTTCGTGCCATAAGTACCATAAGTACAAATTTCGAAAACTTCCTCTATACACAATTCCTATACTCCACAGTGATGTTAATTCCAAATATCAGGATTCCAACTCCATCCGTTTCTCCAAATTGCACCAAATTTAGTACTGTTTAGTACACTTATGTTCAAATTTTCATAACATACTACATCATACAGTCCAATAGACATCTTAAATCCAAATTTCAGAATTCTAACTCTATTTATTCTCCCAATATTTAAATTGCACCAAATTTAGTACACATAAGTACGAATTTCCAAAACTACCCATATTCCTCTGTCCTAGAATGCAATAATAATCATGTTTCAAAATTTCCGAATTCCAGCTCTATCGGTTCAACCAAAACGAAATTGAACCAAATTTAGTACCATTTAGTACTTTTCGTGTCATAAGCACAACTTTCGAAAATTTCCTTCATAAATTAAGACTAATCCTTCACTCCACAAAGGATTATAGCTCAATTTGTTCCTCCAAATTCAAATTGTTCTAAATTTAGTACCGTTTAGTAATTTTCGTATACATGAGTACTCGCTTCCAAAACTACCTCCTTACATCGACTCTACTCCTCAGCCTTGATACCTATTCCATAGTTTCAAGTTTTTAGTTCTAACCGTTCACATGATACGAAGTGGTACCAAATGTAGTACAAAAACCCTTTGGTACATCAACCCTCATTCCAAGCAAAGAGTTTTAGCTCTAATGCTTCCTAAAATAGAAAGGGTACCATATTTAGCACCTTTTAATACTTTTTCGTACTGTTCTAGTACGAATTTCCGAAAACCAAGCCTTATCTGACCTCTTCGAACCAAGAGTGACCCTCACTCAAAATTTCAAGATTCAAGCTTTAGCCGTTTCGTCTGGGCGTTGTTGAAACATTTAGTCAGTCAGTCAGGCAATTACTATAAAAAAATCCAAAACCAAATCAAAAACCAAAACCAAAAATCCAAACGTGGATTTTTTTTTTTTTTAAATATTTAAATTGATTTTGTAAAAAAAAAATTGCCACAAACGTGAATTATTTTAAGAAAATTGTTCCAAGGTCCTCTCAAGGGATTATCAGCGCCATAGAAAATTAGAGCCAAAAATGTGGACTTGTAAAAACGTTTTCAAGGACCCTCTATGACTTTTAATTTTTGTGGATGTTTTTCAACGGAAGGATATTTTAGATATTTTTTTCAAAGATTTTTTAGGAACACATTATCAAGGTCAATTTGATCTTTAATTGCAGAATTTTTATGGCATGTGGTTTTTGGTATTAAAATTTTCCAAGAGACTTAAAAGAAAATAAAGATAATTTGAGGTAAAGCCGTGGATTTTTAGAGATTAATTTCCAGGATCATGGATTTTCCTCCAATTTGTTTTCAATTACAAATCATAAATATTTTGTAAATAAAATTCAAAATTTGTAGATATTTTTCATAACAAGTTCAAGGTCCAGCTATTCTGTAATTTAAAATTTTTTATTAATATTTTTTATCTTTTTTTTCAGGGCCGTGGATTTTTTTCTTGGTAAGTAATAGCTCTTCGTAAAAAGAATTATTTGAATTCTAAGATTAATTTTGATATCGACCCATATAAAACAATTATTCTCAGGATTATATCCTAAAGATTTTAGCCTCTTACTATTGGGTGATGAGGCTTTAATTTGGTTGTTCGGGTTTTCAGGGTGGTAAAAATTAATCCATTATTTAGAATATTTCTCTCCATTTAAGAGTACTACCCACATTCCACGTTTCCTGGCGATGTGGTAGGAGGAATTTCATGTCAGGTCAGCAGTACACCAACTCAAAAGAGATTTAAACTCAGGCGGCTAACTACTTTATAGCTAAGAACTGAAAAACTGCTAAATTTTGGATTTGTTAAGTTTATGTTTTTATGTTGTTATTTATGCTGTTATTATGTTATTTTTTTACCATCAAACCTCATTAAAACTTCCCCATCTTCAATCCCTCATATCCCACCAATTTACCCATCCGAATTTACCCCCAAAAAATCACCCAACTCACTTTTAAGATAATTCAAAAAGCTTGTTTTAATATTCATTCGCTTTTCACCGGAAACCGGATATGCATACAATGACAACAACATAAAAAGAGCAATTATCCTGCTGCTCATAAGTATGAATGTAAGAACAAATACACTCTCATCATCTATTGAGACGCACTCACACTATGCATGCGATGAGTGTGAAGAGAGCTCATGTGAACACAGGTTCATTTACATGAATATATCCTTGGCTGTATATGTGTGGGTGTTTGCATGTTTTCCATTTATTCGAGTGAATTAAATTCACTGTCAAACAAGAACTATGAATGTGAGAGTATGTAAATTGCGATTATATGCA